GTCATAGGATAAGAAATATATCCTATTATTCCATTTGCAACTCTAGGCAAATGTCTCTAGTAAAGGTAAAGGTACCCCTGCCTGTACGGGCCAGTCTTGACAGACTCTAGGGTTGTGCGCCCATCTCACTCAAGAGGCCGGGGGCCAGCACTGTCCGGAGACACTTCCGGGTCACGTGGCCAGCGTGACATCGCTGCTCTGGCGAGCCAGAGCTGCACACGGAAACGCCATTTACCTTACCGCTAGTAAGCGGTCCCTATTTATCTACTTGCACCCGGGAGTGCTTTCGAACTGCTAGGTTGGCAGGCGCTGGGACCGAACAACGGGAGCGCACCCCGCCACGGGGATTCGAACCGCCGACCTTTCGATCAGCAAGCCATAGGCGCTGAGGCTTTTACCCACAGCGCACCCGCAAGTGTCTCTAGTGACAACTAAAAACACCACAATCAAGTTAACAAAACAGTATATGAAGAAACAGTATTCTGAAGAAGTGTGTATACACATGAAAGCTCATACGTAGAAAGTTTATACTTAGTTGGTCTTTAAGGTGCTACTGGGCTTTTTTTTTTTAAAGATTATTTTAAAGACTGTCTTAAGACAAAAAGACTTGATTCTTTTAAGGGAGTTCTTTTTGGACCATCTTTTAATATATATATATATTTCATTTTGTTATTTATTAAAACAGGATATGGTTAAAGAACAGGAAAAAGAGATTGGGACAATTCTCACAACAGAAAGCTGTAGGAAATGGGATCTTCCAATGAATGATATTGGGCCTGATGCTTTTAAATGTATTCATAAATGACCTGAACTTGCAAGTGATCAGTGTGATCAGCAAGTTAGCTGATGATATCAGATTGTTCAGAGCAGTGAAAACACAAAGCGATGGCAAGGAGCTCCAAAAATATCCTTCAAACCGGATGAAAGAGCATTAAAATTGCAAGGAATATGCAATGTAAGAATGTGTGAAGTGATGCACATGGGAGGAAAACCTTAACCGCATGCAAACTAATGGGGTATGAACTGAGGATGACCTACCAAGAAAAATATATTGAGGGTCATGATGTGAAGACAGTTGCAATGTTTGTTTGTTTATTGTTTATTCATTAACTAACATATTGTTTTCAGCTGAACCTCCCAGAATGTTTCACATACAAATAGTTTTTAAAATAATAAGCATCAGGTAAAACTGCACCATGAAAAAACTAGAATAAGCCACACAAAGGGGATCCCCCCCCAAATATATATATATGATTGGCAGCTCTTCAGGCTGCTCTGCCTTCCCCTTTCCCCTAAGAGCAAGACAGTCCTCCACTGTGGAAGTGAGAGGCCACCTCAGCTGGAATACTGGGAGCTAGACAAGCTTGAAGGCTCACAGGCTTGAAGGCTACACTGTTTTGCAGCATAGATACTTGCAGCAGGAAAATACTCGCCCATCAAAATAGTACAGCTGTCCAGACAATGCAACGCAAGATGTCCCTTTTAAAAATGGCACTGAAGACTGGCAAAACATCAGCACCCAAGCTGCAGCATTCCTTGGACTGGGATGCTACTGTTAGCGTTACTGAAGAGGGATGCAAATCATTAGCATTCCAGCACAAAACATGTTACGTAAAGCAATGGCAATCTATTAAAAACCATTTCTTCCTGGTAGACGTTTTCTAAGCTTTTTTGCCTGACTTAAATGAATAAATAGAGCTCAGTTAAGCAGCTTCTTTTAGTGATGTGGTAGGGCAAGTTACCCTCTCAGGCCACATGCCTGAAATTTGTTCAGGAGTCAAGCCAAATGAAGCACAAGTCTGCCATAGTCTGAACTGCAGAAGTCAATGTTTGAAACAGAGAAAACATTTGAAAGGTGTCAGTAAATTACTACTCAAAGCAACACTTTCCATATTCTCAAAAAGAACACCTTGAAGATTGTTTCCGGAAACTTTTTTTTTATGGAAGGAGGAGAGAGAGACACATTAAAAGAAATAGTCAAGTCAGCTACTTCACACAGCGTCTTTTCTTTAAACATAACTGCCAGCTAGAAAAAAGAAATTATCTTCCTTTTATAATACACAGTCTAGGTGAAAAAATGGATTCTTAGCTGTAGATTTTTTAGTTGTGAAACTTGTGACTACAGACATTTTCACATAAAGCCTTTTTTTCCTTTAACTGAAAAAGCCTGAAGTTTCACATGCACTGATTCACATCAGTGGTCCATCTTCTGTCACCTTCAACAGAACAGTGGCTCTTCAGAGTTTAGATAAGAAGGTTTCCCTGGTTTGGTTACTGGAGTTAGAAGTTTGGGACTCAACAGAGTGAAAAATTTGTAGATTTTGACTGCCTGGGGAGCTGAACAGTTGATGCTGATGTCGAAGTGTTTTTTAAGGCTTGGGTCTCTCTCCCCCAACCCCTTCTTCTCTCCCCCCACCGCTACACTTAAGCAACTAACTATGACACCCCCCTTGAATAAACGTCACACTTGTCCCAGAAAATATTACTGAGGTGGTTTATAAACTGCTTTCTTGCCAGCCTGAACAATACCACTTTTTAGGGAAGCAGAGTTGTGTTCATACACTAATGCTCTCATTTATCTGCACAAGAGGGAAATGACCTCCTATACCAGAAAACACCTACAAGATGAGGAACAGGAATTAATGGACAGTCCTATCACCCTGGAAGAAATAGATACGGTCCTCAAAAACCTGAAACCACACAAAGCCCCAGCCCAGACAGCTTTACAGTAGAATTCTACAAGAAATTCAGAGAACCCCTAATGCCCTACATCACCCGCCTATTCAGTGACATCATAAAAGGGGGCCCCATTCCTAAAACCTGGACCTCCTCCAAGATAGTCTCTATCCCCAAACCACTCAAAGACAGCCTCAAAGTAGAATCATACCACCCAATCTCATTAATAAACCAAGACTACAAGATATTCACATCAATCTTGACTAACCACCTAAAATTTTACCTACACAAATTATTAGCCCCAGACCAGACTGGCTTCATCCCTGGTCGCAATATAACAGATCCCATCAGGAACTACTGAATCTGATTGAACACAGCAAGGCAACTAAACTCCCACTGACAATTACGTCCCTAGACATCCTCAAAGCTTTTGATTGCTTAGAATGGAAATACCGGTAACTATTAGCAGTACTAACAAACATGAAATTTGGTCTCAACTTCTTACAAACCCTCTATTCCTAAGCCTCTACCATTTGGTTTGATGCAAAAAAATGCCAAAGAAAGTAGAAACTACAGGATCTCCAGAGAAAGCAATATATTCCTTTCATATCCAAAGGGGGGGGGGAGCCACATACCAATTATCAAAGAATTCTTATTCTGTAGTTACTCTTCCAAAGATGACACAGACCTGACAATGTAGCTGATATACACAATGAAGCTTTTGTCACCCAAAGACTTGCTTCCATAGTAGAGACAGTGGGACTTACCATGAGACACAGATGGGAGGAAGCTACTTAGTGTGCTTTAAGGGAGAAAGAGGGAAGCAGAGAAAATACTGCTATTGTACAATCCACCCACACAGTGCTAAAGGCTCAAGGTCCCAGGCAAGGATTCACAGCCAGAAACTTGATGCACTGTCTATAAAAGTAGAGTGCCTCAAGTGCTTAGACAGCGCTCCTGTGGTCCTAGACGCTTTCCATTAGGCAATTTGATTTGTTTAATATTTGCATCCCGCTTTTCCAACAACAAAAACGTTGAGCTCAAAGTAGCTCACAATAATCACAGTAGCATTAAAAAACAACAAATATTGCAATCACTATATCAAACACAATAGCATATAAGGAAAACTACAAATTCATCAAAACCATTAATTCAATTCAATAAAGTCATACTAATTCATATTATTGCCAGGATACTTCCCAATTTGGATTGGGAGGAGGTTCTGAGAGAGCAATGGACTGTCACCATAAACTTGATGCTGTTAATGAAACTTTGCACTTTGCCTCAGTTCACAAGTAAACCATAATTCATGGCTGCCATGATGTGCCTCCTGAGCTGTTTGTTTCCCTATCATTAGCACACACAAGTTCACAACCCCCAATTTAGCATTATATTAGAGCAAGGGATTGCAATTTGCTTCACTCCAAAAAGCCCCAACCAGTAAGCCAAGAGCAAACCTTGGCTACAAACTGTAGTTTGTTGTGAGCCAAACAAACCAGAATCCATGGATGAGACACAACACAAAGCCAGAGATTGCATTTGTCTCATCCTCCTGCTAGGGGAGAACAGTGAAACAGACCATAAAGCTGTGACCACAGTAAACTATTAACTAGAGCTTACTGTGATGTGTGAACTATGCCTTTGGTTAAATAACCTGTGCTTCAATTCTTACCTTTAGACCAGTGGTTCTTAAAAGGGTGACAAAAGCTTCATTGTGTATATCAGTGACATTGTCAGGTCTGTGTCATCTTTGGCAGAGTAACTAAAACTCCTGTGGCAGGAGAGGATGGCATGTGTGGTGGGAAGATTCAGTGACAGACAATATTATATTTTGAGAATGATTCCTGCTCTTATGTGGCTACATAGTTTTATAGTTTCTGGATGTCCCATGATCATATTATGAAGTAGTTGTGTTCTATGTTCTAAATCAACCACTGTTAGGTGTTGTTTCTTTTTGTTTTCCAATGTATTTCTTATTTAAAAAATGGTGTGGTGTGAGCAAATTTTTATTCTGAAAGTGTGGTGCAGAGAAAAAAGTCTGAAAACCACTGCTTTAGATAAACTTAAAACTTGCTCTGAGTCAGACCTTCCATTCTACTGAATATTTGCTACATAAAATTCTAGAAAGCCCTCTAAAACTAAAGATACTCACTAGGCTACTACCACTGCTTTATGGCCAAATTATGCTCATGCTATATGATACAAATGAATCCATATCAATTGTCATGTTGGGTGGAGCTGAGAGTTGAAAATGGATGGTGGCAATAATACTCTAGCCCACTTTCACCATGAACTGGTAACAAAGTTCTGTTTGGCATACTCACCAGCTGATATTCACTTCGACGGCTAAACGCCTCCTTGATCCCAGCATCCTTCCACAGGCAAGTCAGGGCAGGTACATACAACTGGAACGTGGAAGGCTCAATGGGCACCCCAGCTTTATTTTCAAAGGCCATTAGAAACATCCCATGCTTCTCATTCTCTGTATACTGCCAAGGGATCCCTAGTTTGTCCCGTGCATCGACTAGAACCCTGCAGCCCTAGAGGAACAGATAAATACACTTAGTGATCAAAGAAAAAACTATTACATTGAAGGAAAGAACTATATAAAATGAAGAAGACACTTAAAACCAATCAATTTTTTAATATATATATCTGGCTGTGATAAAATATGAGATGAAGTTAAAACACCTTTATGTAAGTGGCAGTCTGTCTTTGTGCTGTATCATGGCATTAGCTAATAGTAATGGCGGAAGTGAGGGCTCCTTACCTGCTCATCTTGCAGGAGGAGTCAGGAACATTTAGAAGCATCTCTATCTGCTTCACCTTCAGCTTCTACCCTCTTTTCCAGTTTATCTACACACCCTAGCCTGTCCTACTAGCCATTTTTCAACTATTGGCATCCCTGAAAAGGAAAAACTCTGTGCATACTCAACGTTAGGTGCCAGAATTTTGTGAAAAATAAACGGCCCCTTACATAGGTTATACAAACTCTTGAGTCAGGACTCTAACCAAGACCTTAGCTTTTGCTGAGGACAGAGGGAAGAGGCCTCTGTGGTGTTCTGGCAAGCTTCAGGAAAGGTCTGAATTATGGAATCTTCTAGCAGTGTGCAGTTATGTGATTTCTGACCAGTCACTTCAATAAGTTTTTCTTCTTTACTAGTTACCGTAAATGCAACCCCCAATAAAATGTATTTGGATCACATACAGTAATAGTATTCCAAGCAGTAAGAGTTCACAAGTCCCGAAACCAATCTATTTCTCCTTGTAATAGATCAAGCCATGAAAATAAAAACCATGAGAAACACTGTCAACTTGCTAGAACATGCAATGAACGATTTTGTATACAGAGGCAAAGCATCCTCATTTAGTATCCCCTAGAAACAATGCAATTCTTTCATACTGTGCAATTCCTTAAAAATACTTTCATTATGGACCCTTAGTCAAAGAGCACAGTACTTATCACAGATCTGAGTTGATATGATCAGTTAACATCAAAATTTGTTTTGTTGCCTTCTATCTATAGAAGACTTGCATTAAGCACATTTAACCTCAGATTTCAAACATCCATACCAGACTTCAATCTTCTAAAGAAGATTGAATAAGGGGGCTGATTAGAAAGCTTTAACTAAATATTTTCTTTTTATCCAAGCTTCACAGGTATTAATTTTCTCCCAATTTCTTTGCTTTTGGAAAGCAGGGAGACAAAGGAAGCCCAACTATAGAATCCTTAGTTGCAACTTCTGTTCATTATGACTAATGTCATTTTCTAAAATGTAGGCTTGTCTGCTGTAACCACACAAGGATTATAACAGTAAGCATTGCCCTACCCATATTTACTTTTTAAAATTTTACATGATGATACTTATTCAGGAGCTCTTTTATCCCACCCGCCAAGCACCTCAGGATTCATTCCTACAGTTAAGGAGTACACCCAAGAACTTTAATGCTGAAGATCAAGGATAAGAAACAAGCTTCAGTGCAAGATTTAGCAGTAAAATATCATGAAGAAGCAGGTTCAAGGCTGCTAGATTTAGCAATGTAGGAGAGTTGCAGCTTCTCCAGTATTCCAGCAAAAGGGCAGCTAATTAAAATTTTTCAACTATCCATTATCAGGTTGGACTCTTTCTAATGCAGTTTCTCTAATGTAAACACTGAGCCACCCTGAATGACTATTACTTCATCTCCATACAATTTAATCCTTCAGATAAACTGTTCAAAGAGCATGCATTCAACACAAAGCATAGTACAATTATTAAAAGCCTGTAAAAAGGAAGCTATGAACTCAAGGAATGCAGTTAACATTCTTTTTCACTGAACTGCAACTAAGAGTTTTAAAAACCTGCTCCCATTCTCAAGTATTTGGTTTGCCAACAACAATGTTTACTGCTTTAGCTGGGGTTTTCCATTTAAGAATAAATCAAAGGTGAAATGATACAGACAAAAAGCAATTTTAAATTGTGAGGTCATTTTAAGGAGTTAAACCCTATCGCAATGCCCACCACATAGAAGTTTCTATTATGGGTAAGATGCATTACCAGAATGAAAGAGATTTAAAACAAATGTTAAAAGGCTAATCAAGCTATGAAACTCCCATTTTACTCTTCCAGAGCATTCTTTGCTACAACGTTAATGAACAGTACAAATGAGTATCTGAAGATATTTTGCATTACGTACATTTGTATCCAGTTTGTAGAATGGTATGTAAAACAGTAGAACAATTGCAAGAAAGCTATTAATATTGTAGCCATATTGTGCTTGCTACAGCCTATTATCTTCCACTCGCCTCTTAAATTGGGTTGCAAATATGTATGCGTCATCCCTGCCCATACAAGCTAGCTCTGACCTTTCACCTGCTAAGGCTCCAGTGTTCTAAAGTTCTTTAAACTCATCTAGATGCAGTCTTGTTTCACTCCAGCAGCTTTCAAATGGTTACCACTGCACAGCTGCAGCCCTTGCCTGAAAGATTTCCTACACTGGGGAATGAGATCATAATAATTCCCTATCAGAACCATACTCATTCTCGTCTTCTGTGGTGCTTGTTCTCATGGAGTGGCTGCTCTTTTTTATTTCACCCCTCTTCAAAATTATTTCCAATAAGTGGTAAAGAGAAGTATAACTCCCAGGTAGTCATTTTACGACCAATAGGGAATAATGGTATTTTGACTTATTTAAGTACAATGCTATAAATAGTGCTTCTAAGAGTTACAATATTACTTTGGGGATTTAAATCCATCAATCAGCAATTCCTAAATTTTATGAATGTGTACACAGAACAAGAGGATGATGTGCATTCAACACCTACCTGTTGCCTTACATTTCACACAAAACTAATCCTAGTCCCTAAATCAAAGTTTTCCTGAGCAACCACTGCTAGTATTCTGGCAACTTGTTCACAACTTGCCTACAAATCTGTACTGGCAGATTTAAAAGTTTGATATAGTACTAGTGGGGAGTGCCCAGCGCTGTCTAGGTATTTATAGAAACAAAAATAAAGCTTTTGTATTAAAATTTAAAAAAGTGGAATCTGTGACTTTGGACCTGTTATGCCAAAAACTGGGGAAAGACAATCTAGTGTTATGTTTTGGTCTGTCAACTTGTTTCAAAATGGCACCTGGCATCCAAACATCACTGAAGACTGCTGCCCCACCTAAAAAAACCCTAATGCTGTGTTTGGCAATGGTATCTCCTGAGGTGTCCAAATGTATAGAACAGACAGACATACAAACCACTTTCCAAATATACAGTAGATTAACAATCACATTCACATAAACATAAGGACTGGACAGTGGCTAACGTTTCTCATTCTGCTGCCCATAACATTTGTAAGTCATCAGTGTCTTTTTTAAAAAAATAAAAAATTTTATTTTTCCCTTACTGTAAGTTGTCTTGGGGTCGGTTTGCTATCAGACAGAAAGGCAGGATATAGAAATATATATAATAAGTTGTTCTTCTGTTGATGCATACTCTGTAGTGTTTATGGTCATGTACCAAAAAGTGAATGACAAGCAAATCCAGTTTAAGGTGAATGGTAGATCACTGGCTCCCCTCAAAGAAGCTCAACAACTTTGGCTGCCCTGAACCTCCACAAAAGATCTGGAGAGTGACAACATGAGAATGGGCCTTTTCTGTCGTGGCTCCCCATTTTTGGAATGCTTGCCTGATGCCTTTGTTACATATCTTTAGGCTCCAGGCAAACATTCCTTCTGTCTCAGGCCTTTGGCTAATTAAACAATCAACAGTATTTTAAACTAGGGTGTGTGTGTTTGTTACTATGTTGTGTATACATTTTTGTGTTTTTATATTGTAAATATCCTTGGATGTGATCCTTGATTGAACAGCAGCAATTTTTTTAGTAAATAATAATAAATACAGTAAACTGTTATATGTGTACAGTGACCAATTTTAGTTAGAATTTCTGGTCATTTAAAAGCAAACCACTTTCTCTGACTCTCATGCTTCAGAGCCATTATGGGGATTAAAAATAGGGTAAGATTCCATAACTCAACCTGACCTTTGGAATAGGCAGAAAAAAGAACTAGTAACTAGGTATTAAGAAAATATCTGCAAACTTTGTATTAAGAAGATGTCTGCAAACTTGACATGAAGGCTGGCAACATTACTCTCGCCATGTGGGAGTCCATTGCAGACAACCACAGTGCCTGGAGACAAGTCAGTCAGGTTGTATATCCACAACAATGACCAGTGGAGAAATGACCACTGGGAGGAGTGAAGGAATCCCATGGTGCATCTGCACCAATGAAACTGGATACGAACTTAATTCGTTCTGGAGGTCCATTCTTAACCTGAAACTGTTCTTAACTAGAGGCGTGCTTTCGCTAATGGGGCCTCTTGCTGCTGCTACGCCACCGGCACACGATTTTTGTTCTCATCCTGGGGCAAAGTTCTCAACTTGAGGTAACTCTTCCAGGTTAGCGGAGTAACCTGAAGTGTTTGTAACCTGAGGCGGTTGTAAGTAGAGGTTCTACTGTACCTTCATCTGCCCCAGCTGCAATAAAGCATGTCTCATCTATATTGGTCTCTACAGCTGCAGCAGGTGCTGTAACTCTTCAATGGTTTGACTTTACCCCTGATGGCACACTCTTCCATTATCTCTCAAGATAGATGCCATCTGCAGGTATTATAGAAAAAACCCACCCAACTGCTTCTCTAAAAACATGCATTTTATCGGCATAATACTCTCATGGCAGATTATTTCATGTGCTACTCTTGAGCTCCAAAGTCACCGCCAACTTCAGCACTAAATATTAAGTAAATAACATGAATATTTTAAAAATACAGACCTTTTAAAATATGCTAACAGTTTCTCCTAAACATTTGCATCACATTTGACAAGATTATGGGAAGAAGAGCCTAGAGATTTGGAACATGGGAGAATATAGTGTTTATATATTACAAACCCTATATTTAGTGCTGGGCAGCAGCCTGGATGCATTAATACCGTTAAAGAAAAGATTGTCATATCGCAGCAACCAGGATGCATGTTCTACTATGATTTTTAGGAGGCCAGTAGAAATTC